TAACACTCTGCCTATTGCCTTCATATTAAATTATTTTTTGAATAATAATTTTTAAAAATATTTCTTCACGTCATTATGCGGCCGCAAGTAGAGGTGACATGGGCCACGAGATTGAGACACAGGCATTAGAGCCTCTTAATGCGTGTTTTGTTTGGGTTTCCACCGGCGTGGAATTACCAAGAATAGAGAGGGGACAACCTAACATATTTCAACAAAGTAACTGTATTCTGAATATCACCTTTTAAACGGTAACTGTAATGGAATACAGTTACTCATATGTTGTATTCTAAATATGTAATGCCGGTACATGTACTCCGTTACTCCCCAACACTGATCCACTGCATATTGCTGGACCCTCTTCAGCTCAGCCTTAATCAGCTTCTTCATGTCTTTACTGAGTGTCTCTTTCAGTTGACCCACAGCTCTCACCACAGTCCCCTCATATGATGGTGGATGGATACTGACCTCTGTCCAGTCCTTGGTGGCTGGAGCAGCTTTCAGGGATGAGAATCTTTGGAGGAGGTGGAGGTGATCTTTAGAGCGTGAGAGCTGCTCCACCTCAGAGCTTCTCTTCATCAGCTCAGAGATTTCCTGTTCCAGATCTGTGATGAAAACTTCAGCCTGTTTCTCTGTTGTTTCCTGTTTATCTTCTATCTCCTTTATGAGCTCGTTCAGGCTTCTGTCAACAGACTCCTTCAGAGCAGTGAAGACCTGAACACCTTCTGCTTTCTTTCTCTCTGCAGCATCTTTACTCATCTTCCCTGACTCTTTGATCTCCTGAATCTTCAGTCGTCTCTTCTGGATCATCTGTTGAATTTCAGCCTCAGTCTCCCCCAGCTCTGCCTTCTTTACTTCACATTCTTCTCTCAGAGGAACAAACTCATGAGTATTGTGGTCTATAACAGAGCAGAGAATGCAGATACAAGTCTAATCGCTCTTACAGAACAGCTCCAGAGGTTGATCATGTTTCACACATATCCTACTTTCCAGGTTCTCCTCAGGATCAATCAGCTGATGTCTTTTCAGACATGAAGCTGTCAGATGTCACAGGGAACTTCTCCTGGTTTGGCAGCTTGTTGCTCTGAGCTGCTGCTGCTGACTTTCTGCTGAGCTTCACGTCTGAACTCCGAAACCATCTCAGAGACGAAAGTGTTGATGTGCAGCTCAGGTCTGATCTCAAACACCTTTTTACACAAAGGACACTGACACCTCTCACTGATATCTCAGTGTTGACTGATGCAGTTTTTGCAGAAGTTGTGTCCACATGGTGTGGAGACTGGATCAGTGAAGACATCCAGACAGATGGAGCACAGAAACTGATCTTCAGATAGAAGACAGCTGGCAGCAGACATGTCTGCACACTGAGTGAGAAAGAAAAGAAAATGATTTTATTAACAATTCCAATTTTAATTCTATTGAAAGAGGACTTGTTCTGCTTTTCCTACTTTCCTGTCACATGTCTCCTGTTCCAGTGGTGGATGTTCATGCTAAACATGACCAAAGTTTCAAATAATGTAATTGAGTAATCCCTGTGAGCCCAAAGTTTACACTTCAGACTGCTCTAAAAACTCAGTTTTACACAGTTTTTTTTAAAAACTGTTAGATCTGTTTGATGACAATACCAGTTGTGGGTGTTAGACAGTATCATGAGTCCAAAAGGGTGATGTTGAATGTTGTCAGTGTAAATACTCAACAGTCAGAAGAGAAAGAAGAATTCTGGAGTAGGTGAATTAAGTGGTAGAGGGTGTCTCCAGTGGGGGAGAGAGTGCTGATTGGAGCAAACTTTAATGGACATGTAGGTGAACGGCATAGAGGTGTTGAGGATGCTGGATATTTATGATGTTAATGACAGAGAAAAGGAAGGACAGATGGTGGCGGAGTTTGTGAAAAGGATGGAAATATTTGTGAACACATATGAGACAAAGGAGGAACAAAGGAGTAGAGGAATATGTCCACAGTTAGACTACATCTTAGGCAAAAGGTTCAATATGAAAGCGGAGACATTAGGGGAGAATGTTGATTGGCAGCAGTGGTGACTTTGGACACCAAGAAGAGGAAGAATGTGAAGGTAGAGCAAAGTATCAAATGATGGAAGTTGAAGAAGGAAAAATGGTCCATCTGTCCTCTTGCTGTCTTGTTGCTCTTTCTCTTCTTTTCCTCTCTTACCTTCTTCTACCTGTTCACTCTGTGCAGATAACCTGGAGATCATTGATAAGGAGACTTTGGTTTCTGAGAGATTCTGTGCAAAAAGGAACTGTTGAATTGCCTGTGTGTTTGGAACCTGGACTTGACTATCCAAAACCTTTACCTGAGCTTTTGTGAACCTTAAATTTTAAACAGAACTTTGTTAAACTTTTTTCTAGAGTCCTGCATTTGACTCCAACCTGTTTGGTGGCCCCGAAATAACAATATAGCCAAGATATGGATCGATGACTAAATGACAACGTTAACAAACAATCAATGTGAATGAACAAAGTGAACTGAAGATTTGTGCTGTACCAGTAAATTATGATGAGTTGCACTTACCAGTGTTTGTAAAGACGGCTGCGTTATTGAGGAAAACCCGTTGATCCAGTTGACCCTGAGATTAGACATTTAGCTGCAATCTTCTTTGTCTCTAGATGATGATCCACATTTGGACTTTCAAACTGTTCAGTCATAATTATCTGTACTCACCAGTGTTGGAGAGAAGTTCTGCTGTGCTGATATGAAAGGATCAGTGAGCCCAGTTTAATGTTCCTTTGAAAAGAAACTGATTCTTTTCAAGTGAAACTCTGTTGTGACACAATTTCATCTGGTAAATGTTGGAATGCCATCCATCTAGAGTTTTGTGTTGACTCATATCTTTGCTGGCTGGTTGGATTCCTCCTCAGAAACATTTGCAGTGCTCAAGTCAGTTTATTTTAATGGGAAGTAGAATCTCAATCCAACATTTACAATGCACTGCATCAGTTCCTAAATTGTTGAACAACTAAAGACAAAAAGTTAATCACTTTTAAGCCAATCACAGCTCAAGATTAACTGTAAATTATTCAAATGAGAGAATTCATGTTTGTCAAAGAAATGGACTTTGCTTGTCTTTGTATTCTTTGTTTGATTCCTAATTTGTGAAAGAGGAGAATTTACATTTGGTCTTTTCAAACAGCATCATCATGATCACCTGTGTTGGACAGAAGCCCTGCTGTGCTTTGTAGCAAAATGTTCAATGAGCTCAGTTTCTCATTCCTCTAAACAGAAACTGATGTTGTTATGCTGCATCTCTCGCTTTCAAGTTCACTTCTGAATTTCTAGTCTTTCAGATGTTGCGCTGCCTCTTTCAGCAGGTGAGACCCAGTCTTTACCAGTAAAGATTCAAATGTAGTCTAATTTCTGATTTCAACTGAATTTTGACCTCTGCCTACGGTGCCTGCAGGTATTTATGGACCTTCAGCTGTGGTAAGGAGTTTCAAGTCATCATGGCCATGAATCCAATGGTAATTTTATGCTTTTAATGATTTCCTTGAACTGTATGTTTTTGTTTTTTTAATGATTGTACAGCATACATCTTTAATAATTTCAAAAACCAAGAAGTTTCAATTTATTTTCGATTTTCTCTAATTCACATATGGTCAGAAGTTTACATACAGCCTCAAATATGAACATACATGCCCATTAATATCTGGTTAAAGCAGCTGCACCTACGGCATCAATTTCATAATCCTACATCACCTCGTGACAACAATATTTCATCAGCCTTTTACAATGACGGGTAATAAAAACTATTTAAAAGCATATAAAATGGGAAGAATTTTCCTCCACTTGTCCTTTAAATCTATTAATATTTAGTTCAAATTTGCTCTTTATTAGATACCTGTGACCAAGATTAAATTGAGTTTAGACATCAAATGAATTCGTAGAAAACTGGACCTGGATAAAAAACACAAATGTTGTAATAAAGACAATAGAGAAAAGAAGTCTGATAGTTTATTTCAAGTTCTGCGAAATCTATCACAGGTGAAAGAGAACCAAACATGTAAATATATACAGTCATACACAGGGAAATAAAACAGAATATAAATACTGTGTAGCATGAAAGGAAACTAACCAACTAAAAAAACCAAACTGGAGCCATGCACTGTAAGTCGTTCAAATGGAAAAAAAAAAGAAGAAGCTTGAAGCGTATTTACAGCATCATTAAAAGGTTTTCTTCTCGCCTTCAGAAGCAGTGAATCATAGTGTTAGTACAGGTTAGTATTGGACAGAACAACCAGGTGTATTGCAAGAAATCTTTCCCCAAAGGCACTCAATCAGGAAATCAAAATAATGTTCTCAAATCTTAATTTCAAGTTGACTACATTTAACGATTCCTGTGACACACCCATGCAGATGCAGTTTCAAGTTACACTGTAGCTTGAAATAAAGGGAACTGAGTTTTAGTTGCCAAAACTGTAGCCTAAACTGCAGCAAGTTTAACACCGGATCACCACCACTGGACTAGACACGCTATGGAGGACTTCGACATTCAGTTCAGAGGGAAACGCTGATTAGATTCTCAAAGCTGAGAAGAGTGGCAACGGCCACTGGTACAGTACATTTAACAGTCCAAGTAATGTGTCGGAAGAGATTCAGTAAGGCCTGGAAACATCCTTCACTTTTAAAGACATTCTGGGAAATGTTTGCTTTTTACTGAGAGTCAGACGTATGTGCAGAAATAAAAACTGGGACCCTCAAGAGAGGGTGGGTATAGCATTTTGGAAGAACAGAAAGCATTTTTATTTCTACATGCATCCGACAACACACTACCTCTGAAGATGTAAACACAGATTTCATATTGGCTTCACTTTTCAGCCTCAGAGGTTGGAAGTAAAACTAATGCTGAAACTGAAAACCCTCTAATGTGTGCTACAGGCAGTGTCCCCATAGACTACTATGGTAAAATGTCCAAATTTATAGCAGAAGTAAACATCTTTACAACCTGCTACAAAAACAGTTTTGGTCAAAGCAAGAGCTGCAAAGTTTTGTAGGTATTGTAATTTTATAAAAACCAGACTGACAGACAAAGCTTGATTTCACTGAGAAATTCCACTAGTTTAAAGTAGAGACCATGCTACACTGGGATCACCTGTTTCACATGTATTAAGGCGTGGCCTATCTGCTTGATAGCCAGATGGTGTGTCACAGGCAGCTATAGGTTTTAGCTGTCTGGTAGACTTCACCTCAGCCTATTGGAGTTCCTAAACTGGACCTCTGGCTTGAGGTGATTACTATATTTGAATAATAAATAGAATCACATCATCAGCATGTAGTGGCAGTTTGCGCTCAGTCCCTTTTGGAGCATTTTAATGCAGTTATCTGACACATGATATGCATTGTGTTGCTGTGATTAGCTGTTCACGAAGTTTTAGTTTTACGGAGTCAAATTGTAGGATTTTATTTGGATGTTCCTTAGCACTGTCTACTATTGTATGTTAGGTAGTAAAAATGTAGTTAAATTAAGCTAAATGGTCAAAAAAAAATCAGATAAAGTTCTGACATTCTTGTAAATATCTAAAATTAAGCTTGTAATGATCGATGATCTGTAATGTTCGGATCCCCATGCAAGCCATTTCTACACAAGGGAAAAGGGTCCAAATTTACAGAATGGAATCTCATCTGACTCTCAGCAAGAAAACAAATCACTTTGCTGGAAATGTTGGATTATTTCTCATCTTCTGCCCTCTCTGGAGTGTTTGTTTGGACTCACTTAGTGTGCGTGATGGGCGGAGTTCAGCACCAGGAAAGTGCAATCAGTCAGTCGATCAATCAGTATTAAAAATTTCAGTCGTTTTTCCATCGTCATCACTTCACCTACACTTCCTGCTGAGATAAAGTACATACACCAGAGTGGTTAGGCGCGTTTGTTAGTATTATAATAAGCAGCAGAAGGTTTAATTATAGGTGCACTTATTTGAAAATGACACTTTTTTACACTGACCGGCGAGAGCGTCTCAAAGGAGGACCTAAATGGGAATCTACAGTGTTTCCACAAGGAAATCCCAGCTGGATTTCTTGAAGTTTATTGCTAATGTCCACTCTGTTTCTTTTTTTACCACTGGCACTTCACCGTTCAGCAGTTCAGCATTGTCGCTCTCATGTAGTAGCATCTAATGATTCAGATCGTCAATCTTTCCCACAGGTTTGTCATTCACATTTTAAAGGTCGAAAAAGTGACTTACATTCGATTTGGGAGCCGCTGATGCAGAGAACCTTCATCAGCACGGCCGCTAATACTATTTCTGAGATATTTAGGCCTTTATTTTGACCTTCAGATTGAGCTTTAATATATATATTACAGTATTTTGGAATGAAACTCCCCTAATCACAGTAGTCTAAACTTGACAGCAGTCATTAAAACTAATAAACTCCCAGTTTAACCCAAGCTGGGCCGTTCAATTCACAGGAGAGAGCAACACTGCTGTCATTACAGTGGTTTTAATTAGGAGCTACTTGACCTTTTAGTTTTTGACAGCCATTAAAAACCCACCATAGCTGAAAAAAAATTTAACTTATGTGACACTCATCAGCTTGATTTTCCATTTAAATCTCAATAAAAGACAATTTAATCTTTTTTGTTTTTTATATCAGTCTCATATTTACGTAGGGCAATGAGAAGCTTTCTACCTTTGGCCTGAAAAAAAAAATCATAAATCTGTATTTAATTACTGTCTCCTTTTGGTCATAAAATGTGCAGTTCTTTTATTAACATTTACAAAGTGAGTTCAGTCTTTATGTTGTCTAACATAAATTAGATGATGGTGAGGATATTTACAGTCCAAATGAGTGAATGACCAAAGCAATCACCAAAAATATGTTTTCTTTGGAATTTTTCGTATTGTGGTCCTTCTGTCAAGCTGACAGTCATTTTTTACTTTTTTTTTAAAATAAATAAATACTTATGGATTAGTGCTATGCTTGAAATTAGTGATAATATTTAAATGTGACTAATTGAAAAGTATTGCTTTAAGTGTCCTGGTTCTTATATCTACTTTTATGAAAGTATGCATTTAAAGTTCTGACCGGAAATAGGGGAAAAGAAGAAAAGCTCTCCTTAAATTTAGGATCAACCACGAGCCCAAAAAAGTACTGGACAGACTATCCATCCATCCAAGTTCTACAGCTGTGTGCAAAATTTACTTCCTATCACAACTTAAAAGAAATCTTTGTCTTTCAATAAATCTGCCTGTTATGTTCACATCAGCAGAAATGCTACAGAGAAATCTACACGTGTTTAGTCAGTATTTTCTGCTGCTGAGTTATCTTTGCGTCATATGCAGAAATCTGTAATGAAAGCTTAAATGAAGTCACATTTTATGTTGATAACTGGAACACATATTTAAACATAAATATTGATAATTTAATGATGATTAAAAGACTAATTACGCTATTTTTCAAACTTTTCTAACAATTAGAAATGAAGTCCAACGCAGTATTTTAACAGCTTGTTTCTCAAACATTGCAATATATTAAAACCTTCTTAAAAACAATATTTATATAAATAAAAGGCAGCATTAAATTTCAAAACTTCCTAAACTAAAGTTAAGATTACTTAAATCCTACAATCAGCTCTTCAACATGCTTCTGTAAGCTGTTTAATCACCTGCTGCTAAAGCTTTTATTGTGAAAGTCACGTATACAAAAAAGAGCTGTTCACGCGCGTGTAGGACAAATCTAATTTCCAACACTGAATATTAAATGTGTGCAGAGTGGTCCGTCTCCACCTCATCTCCAACAGCTCATTTAGACAGCTAACTAAAGCAAACCTGTGATTTCAAAATAACTCTCACTCACAAGTCTAGTTCTTCATTTAAAAACACGGCCGTTTCAATTTGACATTTTTTTCCAATTCAGGTAGAAAACTGTGATCTGTGAGGTGAAATATTTAGCCTTGACAATTAAATGGAAATCTAACTGATGAGTGCCACAAAAACTGAAATAATTTGTTCCTTCTTTTTCACACCTTAAAAAATGACTTTAAAATATAAACACTGCTGTTTTCTGCTGGTTCTCGGGCCCAGAACAATAAAACTTTGCTGACTTGTAGTGCTTAAAATCATTGGCCAGCCAAATGATCAATCACTGTAAACTGAGACGAGCTTCACATCTTTTGAAATAGATTATTCCAGGACTGAGTGCAACCCCGTCGATTCTCCCATCGCACTCACAGAGGCATGAGCCCATTTTCAAAATAAAGCTTGCGTTGATCTTTCGATTATCTCTGGGATTCAGCCTTTTAAAGACTGTAGTGCCACTTTCTATAACAACTCATTCAAATGTTAAAAACTGGAAAACGTCCCATCGATGAGGCAGTAGTTCACGAAGGACACTCGCGCTCACTCAAAGCTCTTTACATTCAATAAAAGGTTTGATGTGTCAAAGCAAAACAGTGTCCAGGAAGTGGATTAAAGGTACTAAAAAGGAATAAAAAAACTGACAGAAGGAGGAAGCTACACTGCAAAAACTCTCCTCTTCAGGTCCTTCATGGTTCCACGATCTCCTCGGCTTCAAACTGCCACTCACATCCAGGAGATTAAAGATGACGATGATGATGATGAGATGAGGAAGAGGAGATCTTGGTTTCAGGCACATGGCCTCTAAAGATTGATCATTTCCATACTGGAAGATGGAAGATGAAGTCTTAAGGCTAATGCATCTAGTGGTGGATCTTCATGAAACGTCTCAAAAGCCAGAGTCACCCTACCTCCAAAAAATGAGCTGAACTTTATGGATGATGGACATGAAACTGGAGCCATGACAGCATGAACTCCTCAGGGACTTCAGCTCCATCAGCAGCTGAAGGAATGAGATGGAAGATGGTTTGGGAAACAGAAGCTGGTCAAGAAGATGAGGTGCCAGGCACCTGGTCCTACAAAGAAACTGATGATGATCCCACTGGTGGTGACGTCGCCCCTCAGGTCGATCACCGGCTGATGGAATGAAACAGTTTATAAGCGTGTCTGCGAGGATGGAAGCTGCAGGAGTTAGTAGGAGGAGATGTCGGAGGAGCTGCTGCTGTTGCTGGTGGAGGTCTGCGCCCGCTTGATGTACAGGTTCAGCAGCTTCATCTGCAGGAGGAAAACAGCGGCGTGGTCAGAGGACTCCAAGAGCTCTGCAGATAATCTAAAGCTCACTGCTCTTTAAACATTATACTAAACTTAAGTTATTGTAACAAAACTTTATTTATATGACAACATTCAAACAGGTAAACACAATTTAGGTTAGTTCACAATTAAGAAAAAAACACTGGGAAATTTATGAGAAAAAAAATATAAAACATGCAAGAAAAATACTGTTAAACAGAGAGGAAAAAATTTATGAGAAAGATTTACTAGAAAAAATTATCAAAATTATGAAAAAAGAGCAAATATCTGGCAAAAATTGAATATTATTAAGAAAAAATTTAAAAATTAAAAACTTTTGTCAAACTTACGAGAAAAAAGTTTACTCACAAAAATAGTGAATTTAAAAGAGGGGAAAAAACAGGCAAACCGCACGATTGCAAATGCCCTTTCACTGTACTTTTAAAGACTTTTAATATTTCTGCGGTGAATCGTCTCTACGTGCAGGATGCCGTTTCAGCTGTGTGGTCTGAAATACCTTGCTGCCGGTCAGCTGAGCCAGGTAAGGCTTCAGCTCCTCTCCGATCACAGAGTAGATGGCCACCAGGCAGAAGACGCTGGCCTTCCTCACGCTGCTCTCAGTGTTGTCGTAGCCCTGAAACAGCAGAAGAAGGAGAGACCGATATCAACACAATTGAGACAAAAAAGAGTTTATCTCACCAATTAACCGATGACTGTGTGAATAATTTCTGGGATAAAGCTGATCATACAGCAGAGGAAATTAAAAAGATATTTCAATATGTGTCTAAATTCAGTCTTTTCAGGTACAACATGAACTCAGATACACACGAGTGCTACTGACACTAGTTTTATTTCACTATAAAAAACTGTCTAAAGGCAGTTTCGGTCTATTCGTGTGCTGCATGGTTATCTTACCTGTACAGGTCTCTGGACTTTAACCATATTGTATTCTTGTGTTTGTAATAACACAGTTGAACCATTTTTAAGTGTTTCCATTTACTCAAACATTAAATACATTTCAGTTCACACTTCCTGCATACTGGAGCCCAAATGGTGGACACAAGTCCGTAACATGAGCTAATCTTGCGTGTTTATGAGCAGTTAAAGTATCTACAAATTTAAAGAATGAAAAACCTGCAGGAGTCCGGGTATGATGTCGGGCAGCAGCTGGTGCAGCGGCTCTCTGGTGATGCGTTCGATGGCCCTCGTCTGCATCTTGATGGCAGCCAGGTTGATGGGGTAGTCGGCCGTCTGCACGATGGGGCAGAGCACCTTGATGCACTGCTCGGGGTGGATGGAGCCCGCCAGCGTGGAGGCCGCCTCCTCGGCCGCCCGCACCACCTTCAAAAGAAGAAAAGGGCGCCATGAGGGGTCAGAATCACAGGAAGACCGGAGGAGTGGCCTCTGGTTTCTTTTTCATCCTCACCTCCTTGTGCGAGTCTTTGTGGGCCTCCAGCATCTTCATGATGGTGAGCTCGGCGTAGTTTTTGAAGCGGGCGGGCTGGTTCCTCAGAATCTCCTTTAGGACTCGCAGGGCGAGTGCCCGGATTGTGTGCTGGGACAGCAAGAGGAAACAAGTCACTCACAGGACATTTACAGCAGTGGGAAAAAAAAATCAAAAACAACGGAAGCCTCGCGTCCTCACGTCTTTGTCTCCCAGCGTTTCGAGCAGGAGCAGCAGCATGGTCTTAAAGTGCTCTTCCCACACCACCAAGCTGTCCTCCCGGGCCACCTTCAGCATCTCCAGCAGGGTCCCCCGGCGCTCCTCAGGGCCCCGCTCCCCTGCCTGGCCCTGGGAGAGCTCCTTCAGCAGCTCTCCGACCAGCTCCAGCTGCTCAGCAGCCCCGGCTGTAGGTGGAGGGGAAAGAGGTAGTTTTTTTAAAAAAAAAAGTGAGAACAAAGATCAAATAAATAATTTGTTCACCTCTGAGGTTTTCTGGTGAGTTTACCTGGGAAACCTTTGGGGTTCAGGATCTTGTTTTCCACACTTTCCTGCCGGCGGCCTGCAGAGTGGGACGGGAAAGACAGAAAAACTGAATCTTTACCGACACAGCAGGACACACAGCTTTTGTCCTAAGGTCCCACCTTCTCGCAGCTGCTCCACAGCGTCCTCGTACAGCGCCTCCTTCAGCGCAGCTTTATCCATCGTACTGATGCCGTCCGTGTAGTTGTATGGGTTGTACTCTCTGAAGCGCGGGCCGGCGAAGGATCGAGGAGACGGCGTGTTCAGCAGAGAGGTCTTGTTGTCCAGGGCAGTGCGCCCGCCCTCCACTGCATCACCACTGGGACGAGGTTCGGAGTCCGAGGACGCCCCGCCTCCAGTCTAAGATTCAGTGACACCAGAGCAGATGAGTTATTCTGGAGTCTTTACTCCAAGATAAAAATATTCAAATACAGATTATTTTAACAGTTATTTCAGTTATCTGCCATCTGGTTCCTCCCTGTAACTCCTCACCATAACGCCATCCTTCTTGCCGTCCCGCCTCAGCGGTTCCACCAGGTCCTCCTGGCTGCGGAAGCTGAAGTTCTGGATGGCCTCGGTGACACCGCGCAGCGAGCTGTAGATCTCCTCGGAGTTCAGGTTCTCGCTGTCGTACTCCAGCATGCTGCAGCACGAGACAGGTCCAATGGGCATTTTAGACAGGATGTAGGCAACATCGTCAGGGGATCGTCACTTAAAGGGAGAGTTCATTGCTAAATCAGATTCACATGTTTTTCCTCTGGCCTGTAGACCGTGTTATCCATATTTACCTGGAGCTGTAGAGGCGTTGGCCCAGCACTAAATCGCCCTGAGGTGCTCCAAGCACCAAAAACACATTTGGAAAACTCAGCAGTAATGACACCAGACCTGTTTGTTTTTTTTGTTTTTTTTTTATATCCCCAAACACAGAGGTACTTTCATCCATTAGATCATGTTTATCCAGGATCTTCAAAGCAGGTTTTGCTTGTATGCAATTGGAATTTAATGCTATAAATATTTTTCTTTCCCTACAAACTAATAGTTCTCCCCATTTAACTTTGGTGGTCAGTTAATCCACTCGAGGTTTGAAGAAAACTGGTGTTTAGATCAGACTGTGCTGTGTTACTTTTTGTTTGTCTTGTAATACATTTCTTAAGAAAAACTTTAGTTACAGTTTGTAAAAACTCACCACTAGATGTCAGTAGACTGCAGCAACTGCGTTCTGTTTTCTTACCCCTCACATGTTTAGTGCATAATTCTAGCTACAGTGGCCACCGTAGGACAAACAGCTCTGTCTGCTGATCATCTCTAGTGAGTGTAGGCTGTCAGTCCGCTGTTTACCTCAGCTGTCGATATGTGTCCACATCTATTAACTCTGGAGGAGGGTATAAAACTTTGTGAAAGTAGTCCGATACGAGTCGATATAAAGGACATGTTAAACTTGTCTCTGTCTCCTGCCGCAGTTAGCTGCTGCTAGTAAAACTTTGAACTTTGAAGTGGAGCGTTAATGTTAACGCTCTCTGGCAGGTGTAAATGCCAGAGAGGCCGAAAAAGATGACTGGAAAGTTACTGAGGGCTTGTGTCTGTTTACAAGAGATGAGAACCTCGATCAGCGCAGGAGACATGTGGAAACAGTCGATTAAATCAGAGGATCACTGCCCGCATAACTGCTTCTAGAAGGACATTTAATCATCAATATATCCAAAGCATCAAAACAGTGTAGATGAATAAAGAGCACCACAGGTCAGAGAAAGAACGTGTGCCTCTGTCTTTGAGGTGGACTGTCCCTCTAAGAGACTGGTGGAAGTACAGAGGCTCTTCTTCTTAACAGCACCTATGATCCCTTTAATGTCAGCGACATGAAGCAGCTCCATTTTCATCTTGAAGATTGTGGGGGATTGAGGGCATTTTCCTTGACATGGATCAAACACAAAAGCATCTGCGTGCCAAACAAATTAGTCAAATCTTGTACCAAGGGATGGTTTGTCCATGACCAGGAAACAGGAACTGCAGAGCCGTGCATGTTGACGAGCGCACGCGGACAGATGAGAGACAGAAGGAAAGCCACCTTTCAGTCACCATGACGACAAAAAGAAAAACAGACACACGAAGCTGATGGAGGCACCGAGGCAGCAGAGGTGACGACAGACTGACGGAAGCTCGAGGTTTCACAGAGAACTCCAAAATATCTTTAAAAATAAGCTTAGAAATCCGTTCATCACGACAGAGACAGATCCAACTGTTAAACTGTGAAACCCCGTACAGAGGAGGGAGGAGGAGGAGGGGGAGGAAGAAGGGTTACCTGGGTGAGTAAGCTCGCCGCAGGGCCTTGAGGGAGGAGTGGGCAGTGGGTGGAGGAAGAGGGGAGGGGAAGGGTGGAGGAGGGAACTTGGAGAGGCCGTCTGCGCTCCAACCCCACAGCCGACTGCGACCAGCCGGGGAGGAAGAGGTGGAGGAGGAGCCCGGAGAGAAGAAGAGATGTGAAAAGAGTGGAAGATAAGGAGAAGCAGTGCTCTCAGTCAGAGTTAGTACAGGCGGAGGGATCATTAGTATGACAGCTGTGAGGAAACCTGCTGATTGGCTGAGAGGAGAAAACATCTAAAATCACACGAAGCTTCAGGAAGAGACGCACGGAGCCGAACATGAGCCTAAAATTCTGACGTTCATTTAAAACAAAGCATCAAACTGCAAGTTCAGACTTTGAGCTTTGGCTCTGATTTTGAGCTCTTCAATGGCTCCACAGTGGAGTGGTCAACATCTAAACTCTGTGGTGACCCCTCAGTGCAGCTTTACACTCCTCTGTTAACGAGCAAACAAAGAGAAGACACGGGGAAATACGCACGCTGCGTTATAACCTGAGCTTCAAAATAAAAGTCTGGATGATGGCGGAAATGAAGGATGAACTGCTGAAGCCAGAATTTTATCGGTGTGGATAAAATTATACACAGGAAACGTGGTTTGAATTTTTGGTGTGGCGATGGCGGGGCCGTTTCTGTACCTGGGGGAAAGGCCGCCGTGGGAGCAGTTGGTGGGGGAGGTCAGCGGGCTGCTGCGGCTGCTGAGCTGTCGCAGGGGCGTCCGACCTGCTGAGTTACTGGGAGACGCCTGCGGATCCATGAAACACAAGTGTCTGGATTTAATGTGAGAACATTTGGAAAGCCACAGCTGTGATGATGTAAGGATAAGAGGAACAGCACACATACAGAAACTACTATATTTATCAAAACAAGTGTGTTTGTGCATCTATACAACACAAACAACAAAAAAGCCTAAAACTCATCTTTAAAATGATTATTTTGTCTAATCAATAATCTTAAAGTCAATTACAAACATCAACAATCATGTGACATATTTATTGTTTGAGTTAAAGGAAAGTCCTAAAGTGTGTTACGATATTAGTTATCAAGGTCAGGCTACAATGATTCATCAATATATTCCGGTATGGATCAATAAATAAAGAAATAAGACCTGGAAATAAAATCTTAAAAAAAAAAAATCCTAAAAAAAGAATATTGTTTAAATGAATCTGAATGCAGACATCTCCATATTTGAGCCTCTGTGTGTGTGTGTGTGTGTGTGTGTGTGTGTGTGTGTGTGTGTGTGTGTGTTACCATGCTGATGCCGCTGTTGGCACTGGCGTTCCTCAGGTGGTTGTGCAGCAGCTTTGTTGTCCCGTCCTGGAAGGTTTTGGGCAGAGCACCCAGCAGCATGGTGAACTCTGGAGTGTTCAGCTCAAAGAGGGCGATCAACACCACCTGGGCCGCCTGCACACACACAAAAAAAAAACATGTTACACACTACTTTACTGACATTATTGACTGTCACTGCACTGATTTTGGCACTGAACATGAAGAAAAGCTTTCGCTCTGTTATAAAAGACAGCCAGAAGTAAATTAACCTGTTTGAAATAAAAACAAAATATTGTTTTGCAGCATTTTAGTGCAACAGTCAGCCACACTGAAGCACCATGCAGACGTGAATGATACCAGATAATGCTGTAGTTCAAAATAAAAGCTTCCTGTTAGTCACAGGAATTTTATATGATGCTTTACTTTCACTTTTTCCTAAATAAAAGCATCTAGCTATTTACTGCATGATGCTTAGATACTTCAGTGTTGTGGGACTTTTAAAGTAAAAGTCCCCAGTTAATTTTAGAAAATTAACAGGAGGTTCAGACTTTCAGAATAAAAGCCTTTAATTTAATGCACAAGTTTATCAGCATGCTTTAGTGCCCAGACCTTTTTTTTTGTTTTTTAAGTAAACCTGTTTACCTCCAACCTTTCAACAGCTAGTAACAGACAAAGTCCAGCAGTAACAAAAACCATACCACAATTTCTCCACAAATTAAGACAGAGTGCTTTCAAAGATTAAATCCTCCCACAGAGATATCAACTCTGAGTAAACATGGCTTCAGCCGTGTTTACTTATTATAACCCTAGCTTCCACTTTAAAGTGGACCTATTGTGCACCATATTTTAATTCTGGGCTTTGCATGATTTACAGTTCAAAATATTCTTTGTTTATTTTATTCTAGTTTGTCCACAATTAAGCCAGCTTTTTTCTGATTGGCTGCCCTTTGCAAACTCAAGGTTTGAACAGCAGGTGGATGGAGCTTCTGTGAGAAAAAAACAAAACAAAAACTGAGAGTTTGGAGCAATTTGACCTTTTGTTAAGTGCCAGGATTTATACATCGGGGAAACGAAACAACCTCTGGCAAAGCTGATGGCACAACACAGAAGAGCTGCCTCGTCAGGCCAGGACTCTGCAGTCTATTTACACCTACAGGCCAGTGGACACTCTTTCAATGATGAGGATGTACACATCCTGGACAGGGAGGAACGCTGGTTTGAGCGCGGAGTCAAGGAGGCCATTAACGTGAAAAGGGAAAGACCATCTCTGAATCGAGGAGGGGGCCTAAGGGTACATCTGTCACCATCTTATAATGCTGTGATTGCAGCCATTCCCCAACTCTCTGAATGGTACTCATGGCCATTGGTCAGTGGTTGTTGATCAATGGTCATGAGCATTTGCATAATTAAGATTAAGGAACTGACCTCCCAGTCCATTGTTCCTTCAGTGGGCTGGTTTCAGACATTATGCAAATGTACTGTTTATAAGATTGGGGTCAGCTGAGACTGAAGAAGTCACTTGGATGAGTGACAAAACGTTTCTCCCACGAAACGCTACGTCCAGATGAACAGAATCAACTTTTGGAGATTTGTACAAAGACTGTGATTCTCTGAAACTTTGACCATTTTAATTGGAAGAGGAAAAAATATAACACGAAAAATAAAAGTAATAGTTCTGTTAACATGCAGCATGTCAATTGAACTTGTTAAGCAAAAGCTAAAGGAAGCATTTATCACTCAGTTTCCTTTCAAATGATTCAAATGTTTCATGTTTTACTGTAAAGGTTAAAGGTCAGAGTCATGCCTGATAATAAGAGAAACATCATAATGGTCGGCAGAGTTAGTCTTAAAGCTGCACTCAGCAGCAGCATCTCATGCACACACCTCAGGTACACGGATACCTCTCCACCTTTTTCACTGTTTGCCAGCAGTTAGTGCTGAAAAGCATTCACAGAACCCGCTCACACTCTCAGGTTAATGTCCTCTGTACGCGGGCCTGAACAAACACGCTCACAGCAGCTTCCCGCTTCTTTGTGACCGGGTTAGACGAGGTTATTCACGCTGCGCATGCTCACTGGTAGAGGATCTACCTGCTTGCACCTCTCCTCCAGGTTGCCCTCCCCGGGCAGAGAGGCCACGGTGCTGGGTCGGCCTGAGAAATCCTCCCCCGCCCAGTTATGAAGGGTCTAAGGGTGAGGTGAGTGGAGGAAGGACCATTAAGGGGGAAAAATTTAAGACATGAAGAAAAAAAAAAAAAACCAAACAGAACAAAACAACTGAAAATATAAAAAAATGAAACATTTAGAGGAATTTAAAGGGATGAAAAGGGGGGAGTGTTTTAAGGAAGACGGAGGCTGACATGCCCTCCTACCTTGCGGACATCGGAGCTCTTGGGCTCGGTGGTCCAGGTGATGATGCGGGAAACGGCGAGGCGTGTCTCGCTGGAGTTGACAAAGTCGGCCGGGTCCATCTGCCTGGCCAGAGCCTCGATGTAGCGCAGGATGGCCACCTTCACCTTCAGGTTGGGCGTCTGCGTCTGATCCACGATGAAGCGCATCAGGATGTTGAACTGCTGCTCGTATGGGAAGGACTCCCTGCATGGAGGCGGGAAGGAGGAGAGAAAAACATCGTCAGAACATGAGATGAAGTTACACCCTCTTTTTTATTGACAACAGCTGCTCTTGCTTCAGTGAGTTCACACAACATACTTTATATTATATTACCACATATTCTAAAGTAATTTATAAACTTTTTTAAAAAACATTTAGTGCAAAATATCTCCTGTGCTCCACCTGCAGTACCAAATTAAATAACAGGAATACTTTCCCCTTTACTAAAACTGTGACTCGTTGCTCTTTTGTGTTATTTCCTGCACAGACAGCGAGCCAGAGGAAAGTCCCATTAATTACTTCAAATCCAGTTTGGTTGATTGGAGTATAATTTTCTGCAGGATAGAAGCATGCAGGACTTTTCTTTAATGATGAAAAGGTTTCAGTCTTAACCTCGTGACATCCAGAGCCTTCTGGACTTTGGCCTGGACAGAGCCCAGCAGGTCGGCGCCCATCTTCTTCAGCAGCTGTGTGAGCAGGACGAAGAGCCAGTCCAACAGGTCGTCCCTGTGCAGCACGATGAAGTCCACCAGAGTCTCCAGGAACATGCTGAAGACCTGTCACAGAGTCAGGGGTGATGATGAGGAGATGTTTGAGTGTTTGTCTGCACATGTTGGTCTGAGACGAGTACACACGCAGTGAAATATGACAGCAGACAGTTATCATGTGAGTGAGAGCAAACACTTACTCTCTGGTGTTTGTTAGAGTCCGCAGCAGCGAGGAGGCATGCAACAAGAAAACACACACTGTTAGTTTGTCCTGCTGTTAGTGACGACACGAGAGCAGTGAAATCAGCCACGACGCTCACGTCCCAGCTTCAGAGTCACAACAAACTCCCAAGTTTACCCCCTCCGGCTCTCACTGTCACCCTCTCTCTCCACAGAAAGAGTGAACTGCTGCTTTCTGACGTCGGCTTTCACTTTTAATAAGAGTACGTGTGAAAGATGCTGCCGTCTCACCTTGCTGTGAGGGTCCGCAAACATCCTGGTGAAGATCTCACAAAGCCTCTTCAGCTCCACGCGACTGAAACAACAGGCACGGTTATTTTGTTGTCCTTGTTGCCAACAGAAAGCTTTTATGTGCAGACAGAGTAAAGAAACAGGAGACATTACAGTTCTTTACTTTACTGTAGCTTCATTAGATAAACTCGACTTTGGGAGGAAGAGAAAATAGTGAGGTGAGAAGCACACTCATTTTCTCATATCCTTTTTTGTTTGTTTGTTTGTTTGTTTTAAAGCAGAGGAGTCGTCCCCTTGCGTAAATAAAAAAAGACCAGGGGTCATGAGAAACTTGTATCTAGTGATGGGTGTGGCTTTTTAGACTAGAATACACATCCATCACTATATACAGTGTAAAGCTACAACAGAGCAAGTGGCTGGAGATCATCTCCTGAACCGCACACAGTGCATTTCAAGTAGCTGAAATAGATCTGAACAGAAGTAAGAGTGTGCTGAAAACACAGCCTCTGGATCTCAGCCTGGACTGACCACTAAAATCTCTCTGCTTTAACCTTTCTGCTGACTGTCAGCATCAAGGTACAAGGTTGATTAGAAGTCTACAAAGACTACAAGGTTACAAGGTTTCTTTTATTAAACCCTTCTTTAACAAAACTCCTGACATTAAATTCATAACCCAGCATGTTTCCTTACGATTAAACCTTATCCACCGCCTCTTTACCTCAACCAAAAGTTCTCAAACCTGCAGAGGTGGAGCTTTTCAGACCTGTTTTCCACCATTGGCACACCCACCTGAGCATCCTCTGGCTCTTGAGCAGGTTCTGCAGTCCCAGCAGTCCCTCCTTCCTCTCGGACCAGTTGGCGCTGGCACAGTGGTTCAGCACCTCCGCCACGTCCTCCGTCTGGCGCAGGTAGTGCGGCGCCACGCCGCCGTTACGTGAGCTGTAGGAGCGCTCAGAGCAGGCGCTGGAGGCGTCGCTGTTGGCGTCGTCGTCTGAGTACATCCCCGGCGACTCGAACCGCCGCCTCACTGGCCTCCGCTACATCAGAGAGGAGATGAGAGAGGCTAAGTGTAAAGACGAGACTTCACAGGGTAAATGTTCAGCTGTCAGAAGAAGTAGCATGCAGCTACACAGGCAGACTCATGGATGCTTCTGGTGTCATCGCATGAGATGGATGAGGTTACTTTGGGGTTTTTCCCCCTCTCTTGTGAGTCCATATCAACATGCTGCTTTTAATGGAGCGATAAGCAACTTTTATCAAGCTAAAACAACTTGAAATAAAGCAAATCACTGCATCCATGTTTAAAACGTGAAAGTCAGTGTGCACAGCTCATGCTCTGCATGCAGTGACAGGTGAGATCTACCTGTACCTTACTCCTCGAGTCTCCTAAGAGCTGAAATGTACAAAGTCCAGAGAGAAAGAGCAGAGAGGGCATTAACACAGAGCTGAAAGAGCTGCGACAACATCTTTGATTCACATTTGTAATCACATTAAGGCAAAAACAGTTTTCTGTTCTCACCAGAGCATCGGCGACTGCAGCCTCGACTTCGGTGCCCGTGTTGAGGATCCTCATGGCATTGACTGAGGCAGAGATCCGAGCCTGATGGGACAGCCGGTCTGATGGGAGGAGGTCAGAGGAGGAGAAGCAGTTTGATTACAGAGGCTTTAAAATCCACAGGCACGCCTCAATATTAAACAGAAACATCTCCTTCATGTAGAACTGATGATCAATAACAGTGACGTGAGTCTTGGTCCCGTTTTCGTGAATTCAGACAATTTAATGAGCTCAGATTACATGAGAAGAATTTGTGTTATTTACCTGTGCAGGTTGCAAATTTTTAAGTAACTGCTTTAAACCAGACCAAACCCACAGTGATGAGCAGAGAGGCTGTTTGAATGTAATATAATATAACACAAGTCCAGATCTGAGCAGCAAGCAGCCTGTTTAATCAACTTAAATACAAAGAAATGCAAAACACAAGCGGAGCTCCAGAAGTAAAACCCAGCAGCGCTCGATAAAAAATGTGAAAAATAACAAACTCCATAAACTGCATGAGAGAAATAAACTTCATGATGCTCTGCAAAAAAAAACAAAAAAAAAACTGAAGGAGAAGCAAAACTTTATCTTCAATATTTACAAGCGTGAACTCCTGTTTCCTGTAGCCGTTTCATAGCAACAGGTAGGGGTGTAACGATTCGCTTGATCCATAGTCAGGTTAATTACAAAACATACGGGCAAGTATTTGTTTTATCACAGGCATGATCAGCTGATAATGAATTAAGTATTCCCAGTTTTCTCTTTAATTGAAGCATCTTTAGCTTTCACCATGCCGACAGCCCACCGACAGCCCAACTCATAATGATGAGTTTAATAAACAAAAACGAGGAACTTTGTTAGAGAATCTTGACTGTTTTTGTGAGTATGTTGTACTCTGGCACAGAGTATTCCACCTTCAAGCTGCACCTGCTTATATTTATCGACAGATTTACCGAGTGGAGGCAGGAGACTGCGAACGTTTGCACCCTGATTCAGAACCGTTACACCCCTGGTAGCGATAAACATGACAAAGGCAGCTATGACTGTAAGGAGCAGGCCAGACTGGTTTAGTACCGCCCCCTGTAGGTGAATGAGATGTACTGCTTTACGTGCACCAGAGTGGGAAACTTCACTTAAGCATCTTTAAGGTTTATCTGTGGCTGGAGGTTGCATCTGATTGCTCTGTAAAGGTTTCCAATATCTGACTGATTATTGATTACTTCCCACTCTGACCACAGGAGGCAGAGTCGACTTTGGCCATGCAGGGTGAGGCAGGAAGCTTTGAGCCACTTTTGTTTTCGTCATCTGTTTAAATCTGCTCCACTGGTCACCTGAGTAGCACTCTGCAGAGGACAGGGCGCTGGTGGAACGGGAGTGACGGCGGGACGCTGAAGGAGGACGCAAAGTTAAGGAGAGACCAGGAGTGAGGATGTTATTTTACAGAGGAACTTAAAAGGCAACAATTAGACAGAGAGCATGCAAATAAAAAAGCAGGAAAAGTAAGGATTTAGTCAGACAGACGTTTGAGATTGTCTCAGCCTTCAGTCTTTGATACCATACTCACCCAGGGGGGAGAAGCCCCGCGCCGGGCTGGTGTCGCGGCTGCTCTCGCGACTGGTTTCGCGGCTGCAGCCCTGACTCATGCTCGGTCGAGGGATGCGACTCCGGGCTGCAGAGGCGGACACACAGACAGACAGAGAGCGGTGCAGGGAGGAGAGGTTAGGCAGACATGACACACCTGAAGCCCAGCAGAGACGGTTAGTGAGTCAGGCAGGAGAGCGAGACAGAGACAGAGAGCGGGGAGGCAGCAGGTGTTAGCATCAGGAAGAGGAACCAGGAAGATCTTTCGCCTCCAGTCGAGCGTGCAGGTCGACTCACATACAAGGAGTCCGATCTGCCAATTCTGACCATCTTTACTGTTTCAAACAGCATCATATTTATACCAAGTTCTCCGATTTTTACTTTCAGTAATTATTCTTTTTCCACTTTTTAACTTGAACTCCTTCACAAATGCTCCCAAACCTGTGTTTAAAAAAAAATACACCGCTTTCATTTTTAAATGTGTCTGTCTTCCCTCCCATACCCGTGCCTGATCTGGTGGGGCTGGTCTCTCGGCTGCAGCCCTGGCTGCGGTGACCTCGAGGTCGGCTCTTGTCAGTCAGGCTGGTGGTCAAGGTGCTACCCGTGGCGGCGGCGGCGGCACCGGTGCCCATGGTGGGCCTGGGGATCCGGCCATAGGTGGAGCTCAGCAGCCGCCCGGGAGAGCCTGACCGACTCCCAGCTGAAACACAGGAAGACATATTTCGGTGAACCAGTTCATATGTCTGTCACACCTTTGTTTAGGTTTCCAAATAAGTGATAAGATTAGAAAAGTAGTTACAAATCCATTTTTTAGTCACAGAAATGTTATTTAAGAAAAAAACGTTTACATTTTCTCTATATATTTGAACAGACTGATATCTAAATTTGATCTATATCACTAAAAAAAGCAGCAGAGTTACTCACGCTGGGACTGAGAGACGACTTTCCCTCGACTCCGGCCCCGTGTGTCTGTCACTGATGGACCGTTTCCTGAGCTTGTCCTCCTTGTTCGAACTCGACCTGCAGAGGCAGAAACGCAGGAAGACAAAAGCTCAAACACACTGAAGTCTTAAGACTGCTGTGACACTTCCTACATGTGTGCTTCATGCAGGAACAGAGGACTGAAGGGAGGAAAACCATACAGATCATCCTGAAGACCAGAGAAACACAGAGTCTGTCATCCATGAACACAAGCTTTAAATCCATAAAGACAGCGGACGGTAACATTAAAGGTGTTTTTGTGGGTAGCAGGGGTCACATGACAAGCGTTTATTGGTCACTGAGAACAAATTGTTTCTCTAATGTCTCAGCTGCCAGATTCAAATGTGGAGACAGAAACAGATGGAGGAGATATAAAGACGCCACAACATTTACAGACTCGGAGAGGAATCTGTGCCTCATGCAGACGTGCTCGGAAGTCTCAACACGTCACCAACAACCTTTCATTCCGGGTTAACGAGCTGTAATGTGAGTGAACTGGTGCAAAGACTCAGGAACAATGACGTTATAAAGTTCACAGTAAAGGAGAGACACATATACACACACATAGTAAATACAGCTGGCGTTGGTTGGGAGTCCTGCCTAACTCCATCTGGGTCACATGTCCTACATTTGGGTCCACTCAGCACCCCATAACCTCCTCCTCTCCTACATTAGGAGCTCTGTGTGTCTATAGGCTGCTTCTGTTTGATTCGTCTGCCTGATCAAATACGAGCAGAGACACATGACTGACTGCAGTCCTGCTTTTGTACATGTCTGTAGATGCAAGTGTGTCCTCTGCTTCCAGGAATCACTAGAAAGTCTGAGCAGCTGCTTCATGCACTGCAGAGAAAGCTTTTTTTCCCTAATCTGTGGATACAAACATCCTGAGCTCTGACATAGAACAACGAAGGCCATGTCATAACAGCTGCAAAAGCCAAGAAGTGGAAGAAAACTGAAAGCAGGACAGTTTTTCATGGTCTCCATGTTCGCTGATGGGCAGGTGTTACAGCCAGACGAGTGTCAGAGCCTGGGTGACAGAGACGGGGTGATAAAGCATCCACCAGTGCCCTCAGCAGGTCGGCACTGCTTCTGCTTTGGAGGCACAGCAAGGATCAGGAGACTCTTTTGTGTGTTTTTTTTCTGTTGTCTTTTCAAGTATACATCAATCACAACCTGTGCCCGGGAAGCCTTCAGCCACAGTGTGCATCTGCGTCACAGCCAGCGATGAAGTGCATTCTTCATCAGTAACTACGCCCGTCTCTCTGTTCGCTTTCTGTCAACACAGAGACTGTGGAAGTTTAACATTGGCCGAGGCCACAGAGACGCACGTTTGTGAAGTCTTCCAAAAAAAGGCAGCACGAAAATATCTGTAAGTCAGTTACTCACAGGCTGAAAGGTTAATGTGAACAGTAAAAGGAGCCACAACTGCACGTAAAGCTCAAACGATGGCTGCAGTGAAGAGTTTTAGGTTTATTTGTTTTCAAACTAGACACAAAGAAGTGAATTCAGTCTGCTCTGCAGCTGAGGGCTGAGTTAAAGGAGCCACAACAGCCACAACATCACAGGCTGTTCCTCTTATTTCTGACAGATCTGACACCACCATGCAGGGATGTGAATTACAGGATGAAACCCTACGGACACCAGCACAGGAAGGTATTTGGTTTACTGACCACACAGAGAGCAGTTCAAGCCTCCACGTACTGACAGCCAGAGCGGGACTTCAGAGACAGTGAAGTCTGAGCTGTTTGCAGGCCGACTAATAGAGGACTAACACTGCACTTCTCAGGACAGGAAACGCTGATTTTTTCATTCTGATGCTTTACATTTATCTACATGTCAAAACTACAGCTGAGGAGCAGAATCAGTTATTTACACAATCAGCTGACTCTGTTCTCAAGCAAGGAAAAACTGCAAGTGATCGTAAAACAACTTCAGACTCAAAGCAGAAGCTACGACGGGGAAAATCTCGTGCTGCTCACAGGTTTCTTTGTAACTCATATTTGT